GAGCTGATCACGATAGCGGCGCGCAACTGCATAACATGTCGAACAATGCTATTTACTTTTAACTACAAAAGGATACAACATCATCATGATTACACAGATAGTATACAAAGAAATTCGTGAACTTACATGAGAATCATTAAAGAATATTTTCATTTGCGAACTAGTATTCTCTTCGCACGCCTAAGAACCCGTGAGCCGGTGAGGAACTGCAGCAGGTGTTTGACTACTTCAGACAACTGCAAGACTTGCCGTTGGCACTCACCTCCACAGCCTTCTTTCTCTTCATGATGGGAATGCTTCTCCCCTTCAGCTACATGCTCCTGCAAGCAAAGTCAGCCGGGGCATCTCCCGTTTTAATAACCTACTTGCTACCCGTTTTGAATGGCGCCAGGTGAGATAGAGCTACGTCATCTACTCTGTATTTTCTTGTTGCTCGGCTAACAATGCATGCTGGGTCTGTTAAGCGTATTGGGGCGCCTAGTTGGCGGGAGTTTGGCAGAGTCCGTCGGCCATTATCGACTCATCAAAGCCATGGCTATCCTGTGTGCGGTCTCCTGTTTAACTATTTGGCTACCGGCGACAAAGATACCCGGCATCGTGCTCTTTCCCGTCTTCTTTGGATTTTCATCTGGTGGCTTCATAGCCCTGTGCCCGAGTCTTGTCGCAAAAATATCAAACAAAGAAGTCGTCGGCACAAGGACTGGTGCCGCTTTTGCCATGCAAGCGCTGGGCGCCTTGGTTGGGAGCCCCCTCGGCGGGGCGCTTGTTGCATGGCAAGATGGGGCGTACAGTGGTCTGAAGATATTCTGTGGGTGCTCTATGCTGGGCTCGGCGTGTTTTTTTATGGCCGCATCTCGAGCATGGGGCAAGCAGCAAGCTGTTACGAATAATAGTTCTAGGGCGCAATCATATGGCAATATCTCTGGCACTCACGCAGAGGACAAACAAGCGGGCCAGTGTGTTGTTTTGAGGAACCCGGCGGGCGGCTGCTGAAAGATACAGCTCGTTGGCGATGGCACTACTGTAATATATTTCCGATCCTTGTTCCAGTAAATTTCACCACGGCATGGAGTTTCCCTTTCTGTTTGCATCTCGTTGAACAATATATGGCGGCCGCAAGATACATGGTAGGGCCTTATTAAGCCTAAAGACCACCATCCTTCATCGTCGTACATAGTCGTAGTACTCGTTAAGTACTCGTTTACGAACCTGCTAAACCCCCCGCCTTTCCAGGGCAGAGCTCTGAGTCGTGCAGTCGGTGTCATTTTTGAGACAGTGAGTGTGTTGATTTTCCACCATGTGTTGTCTCACAACCCCGTTTTAACCCATGCCTTTCTTGGTTCAAAGATATTACTGCTGCAGGGGTTGTCGATACGTATAGCTCTGAGTCGTGGCAGCTTCCACCCGACAACCGGTGAAGTCATAAGTTGTCACACAGCACGATTGTATGGGACAGCTTGGGCAGAATGAAAGACTCTTGATTTTTTTTTTTTTTGTTTACAGTAGAGTCCAGGTTCACCGTCAATAAAGCTTGTTATAAAAATGTTCCAAATTTGGCTAGCGTGATTTGGCCACAGTGTGTAGTAGTTAGCCCCTAAGTACCGTTTACGCTATGAACTCGTGAGAATATACTAACATGCGCACAGTATGTTGGGTTACTCGAAGCCAGAAGTTGCCCAAGTCGTCAAATAGCTTTCATCCATTAGAGGACGCTGAACCTGAACTCCACTGTACCTAAAGAGTGGAACAATACATACTTGTTGTAATACTGCTGCC